GAAAGTCGTGATTTGATAATACACAAATAATTCACGATTTACGAAAGGATTCCGTCTCTAAGATAAACATTCGTGAGTCGTGTAATGCCCTAACGTCACTGCTTTGGGTCATAACGTCTTTACGAACGCCATATTGCAGTGTACACGCTTGGGGGGTCTCGATATTTATAAAAGGTTTCCGTTGCCAAAATAAAAATTTCGTCGTACACCGAGCGACAGCATAAATATGATCGTTCTTATTTATGCTTTACGGAATTTTGACGGACGAGAGAGAGAGAGAGAGAGAGAGAGAGAGAGTACATTAAGGCTAAGATTTTACCCATAATAATAGTGTCATTATGTAAACAACCCCTTAAATATTTGTTTCTGCGGAGTTTTATTAATTTCCAGGCAGTTCTTGCAATACGAAAGGGATTAATTTAATTCCATGGATATCGTGCTGTAAAGATTCGTTTAGCATTAGTGCGTTAGGAAGGAATCCGTATGATCTAAGAATATTGGAATAATTTATTTTAAAGACTAGTATAGTACAAGAAATAAGCCAACATGTATGGAATCCAGTCTACTTAAAACACAAAAGTCACGTCGGAGAAGAACCCATCGTAAAACTTCCCTCGACTGTAAATAAACCCTAAAATAATTAAAACCAATATTACAACAACTAACACAATATATTAAAACACAGACTTTATGTTGAAATAATATAAACGAAGCCGAGGTTAGTTGAATGTTCGGGTGATAACAACATTGTGTGGTTGTTGTGTTCGGGTCCGCCGGATGTTAGGAGAATGTTGGGTTTTTTACTACGAATGTTCATACAGTTTCAACCAATATATGTCATGGTGTATACATTTAATCATACATTTTGTGTATATTGTATACTATATTAACTGAGCGTATGTGTGTGTATGTATGTGAGTGTTTATGTATGTATGTATGTGTGAGTTTATGTATGTATGTATGTGTGTGTATGTTTATGTATGTATGTATGTGTGTGTATGTATGTATGTGTATGTGTGTGTGTGTGTGTTGATAGAGGGAGTTCATTATATCGAGGGTCCTTTAGATGCGAAACCTCACTTTAACAGACAATATCCATTATATCGAGGTCTTGAACATAAAAATTTCCGTGTATAGGACATATTAAAACCAATTTATTAGTAGAAATATGTTTAATTTATCACTAATTCCTCGTAAACATTTCTGCCTCGTCTGGGCATAATGTTTAATTTATCACTAATTCCTCGTAAACATTTCTGCCTCGTCTGGGCATAATGTTTAATTTATCACTAATTCCTCGTAAACATTTCTGCCTCGTCTGGGCATAATGTTTAATTTATCATTATTTCCCTGTAAGCGTTTCTGCCTCGTCTGGGCATAATGTCTAATAAGAATTATTTCCTTGTAAACATTTCTGCCTCATCTAACCTACTTCAAGCAAATCTGACTTACCTCAACCCTGCCCTGCCCTACCCTGCCCTACCACTACCCTACCACTACCCTACCCTACCCTGCCCTGCCCTGCCCCACCCCTACCCTAACCTAACCTAACCAAGAGCCAACGTGACCTGCCCCTATAACCACCCTGGGTTTACCACTGGTGCTACATACCATTTCAAACGTCTTATCATCTGACCTCATCATTATATTGTTTTAAAAATAATAGTGTATTTTATATTTGGTCAAACTCGTCTTGATATATTACGAAAGTCTTTTATTATTGTTTGGTATCTTTAATTGTTTTTCCATTGTTATTGTTTATTTGTTATTTGTTCGTGGTTTTGTGTGGGTCGTAAGTGGTGATTTGCGTTTATATTGACTCCCTGTGTATGGGGGTCACCTCTGAGCTGAATAAAATCATCGGTTGTTAACCAAATATTAAAATTTTCGTCCCTGTAGTGAAGGTGTTAGTGGTGATAGTCTACTAACACCTTGTGTATGGGGTCACCTCTGTTGTTAACCATATATTAAAAGTGTCGTAAAGGTGTTAGTGGTGATAGTCTACTAACACCTTGTGTATGGGGTCACCTCTGTTGTTAACCATATATTAAAAGTGTCGTCCCTGTAGTGAAGGTGTTAGTGGTGATAGTCTACTAACACCTTGTGTATGGGGTCACCTCTGTTGTTAACCATATATTAAAAGTGTCGTCCCTGTAGTGAAGGTGTTAGTGGTGATAGTCTACTAACACCTTGTGTATGGGGTCACCTCGGTTGTTAACCAAATATTAAAAGTGTCGTCCCTGTAGTGAAGGTGTTAGTGGTGATAGTCTACTAACACCTTGTGTATGGGGTCACCTCTGTTGTTAACCAAATATTAAAAGTGTGTGTGTGTGTGTTGCTGAAAATATACAGACTTACATTTGATTTAGACATAATGATATGCATTGAATACATTTACAGGGCTGTACAGTACAGGAGTTGTTTTAACAATAGATGGGATGGTGCTGCTCTTATGGGCTGAATTTTGTTGTAGTGGCGGACTGCGCGAGGTGGGTGGGGGGCTGCAGGTGGCAGGAGGTGGCAATGACGAGGGTGGTGCATTAGTTGGCTGCCAAACCTTTCCAGTGCTTGGTGGTGGAGGTCACTGAAGGATGGCACCTCCAGGGTGGAGAGAGCGTTGGTGTAGCCGGAGTATTCTGCGCCGAGCATGATTCTGCAGGCCCTTTTCTGTACCTTCTCTAGCTGACGATGTTGGGTGGAGTTGAGAGAAGACGACCAGGCTGGTGACGCATACGTTAGTTTGGGGAGAATAAAGGCGTTGTAGATGGTCCTCAGCTCTGGCGTGGGTGTCCCAAGTGACCTAAGTCGTCGTAGAGTCGGTACGAGGCTGCCTTGATTGTGTTATTTACATGGGCCTTCCAGTCCAGTTTGTAGTCTATGGTAACACCCAGGAGTTTGGCAGACTGCACCAGCTGGAGAGGATGGGCACCCACTGTGACTGCTGGGGCTTGCACTGGAGTGGTGGCGGTATTGATGTGCATGACTACAGTTTTGGTGTGGTTGATGGTGACCTTGTTCTCCGTAGCCCATGACTGTAGCCTGTCCAGGGTGCCTTGTAGCGATGAGTAGTCTGGTGAGGTGTTGTCCACTGTAACCCCCACAGTGCAGTCATCCATGTACTTCCACCTGTGAGGAGTGTCTGACAGAGCGTCATTGATCAGGATGAGGAAGCACAGTGGTCCCATCTTGGTCCCCTGGGGAACACCGCAGGTGGACTGCCTGATGACGTCCACTCAAGAAATCAGTGAGCCATGAGACCAGGTTGGTGGGCAGCCCTAGTGCAATGGCCTTGTTAATAACTGTACAGTGATCAACAAGGTCAAAGGCCTTCCTGAAGTCCACAAGGGCAACGGCCAGTGATGTCTTACGTTTCTGCAAGTTTTTGTGCAGAAAATCCAGAAAGCTCACCAAGCAGTGTGATGTAGAGGAGGTCCTCATATTGCCAAATTGCTGTGGATCAATTGACTGATAGATACTGGCAAATGCCCACTCAAAAACACAGTCCTCACAAAGTAGACTGGGTATGGGGGTAATGGCAACTGGCCTGAGGTCGTTAGGGGACTGTGGGGTGGTGACCTTGGGGATGGGGGTGACAAATGCGGTTTTCCATTCATTAGGGCATTTGCTTTGTCTGAGGGATGCATTAATAATAGAACAGAGGGGGGTGGCAAGTTCGACTGCAAACTCCTTGTATTTCAGGAGTTTGTTGGCGATTTCAAATGGGGGAAGTGAGTGGGTGTATGTGTGTATGTATGTATTCATGAGTATGTGTGTATAAGTATGTATATTTGTAGGTGTATGTATGTATGTATGTATGTATAACCAAATATTAACTAAATGAGACAGAGTTTAACATAATAACAATAATTTACCATAGAGAATTATTAAAGAAGTACAAACGGTTTAACATAGGAACCAAATTTACAAACAACATCTTGTAAAAAAAACATTAAAACAAACAAACAAACACAGAGGATTTATTATAGGTGTTTAAGCTATACTGTAAAACCTTGATATAATGGACTTTAATCTCTATATAGTTCGTTGTATGGAGGTTTCACATCTAATGGACCCTTGATATAATGGACTCTCATCTCTATATAGTTCATTATATGGAGGTTCCACATCTAACAAACCCTCAATATAACGAACTTTCCTCTCTAGTCCGCTATATAGAGGTTCAACTGTAAAAATAAGGCGGCTATTTTTTTTCTCAATTTTTTTTCCGTGTCATAAATACTTCAAGTTGTGACTAAACTTATATATTAACGAGAAATATTTAAATGTGTTTTTAATGTAGTGAAGATTATAAATATATTCTATAAAAGAGAAACTGGTGATTTGAGTTTTATTTAGTCAGTAATTATTATTTCCTGATTATTGCTGTATGTCTGTCTGTCTGTGTCTGTCTGTCTGTCTGTCTCTCTGTGTGTCTGTCTCTCTGTGTGTCTGTCTGTCTGTCTCTCTCTGTCTGTCTGTCTGTCTATAAAAAGATTCCCACAAAAACTCGAGGCTCTCTTGGCATGACCCCGAGACAGCTTACAAGTTATGAGGGGGGCGCTGGCACTTATCCACACACACACACATACATACATACATACACACACATCTCAACACACACATACACTCCACATATGCACACAGCTCAATAGACATACATGTGCACACTTCCACACACACACACGTGACTGAGGTGTTTTTTTTTACACTCAAGAGACATAAATTAATTTAATTGACGCCTCGTAAAGGACCTAAATGAGAGAGAGAGAGAAAGAGAGAGAGTGAGAGAGAAAGAAAGAGAGTGAAAGAGAGAGAGAGAGAGTGAGAAAGAGAGAGTGAAAGAAAGAGAGAGAGAGAGAGAGAGACGTACAGACTTTCTTTATTTTTGGCTCCTGGTGAAAGCCGAGCCTCTACATATGTACGTTTACCTGTGTACGTCTTCTTAAGCACGTTTACCTGTGTACGTAAAGTATATACACATAGGTAAAAAATAAACAACATTTTACTGAATAGATATAATTTATTGAAGCTAAACCATACATACATAGTTTAGTTTATCATACAAATCACCTGAAGATTAACCCCCCTTCCTATAGTTCCACCTCAGGACAATAGGTGAAGCCTGTTAATTGGGGGTAAACACCTGTCTGTCAGTTGTTTATGAGTAATTAAGGGTAGTTATTGATATTGACCGTAATTGGATGAGGTAACAGAATGAAGACAGGTAAAGAAACACCTAACTTCCCCATTTTCTGTAATTAACTCAATATAGAAAACCATATCAAGGGGACTTATGTAATTACTGTAATCAACCAAATAACTATTACAGAACTCTAACAACCTGATAAAACTACAGAACACAAACTACACGCTACAGAATTAATGCCTAAAGAACGATTTATATAATACAATAATACATTAGTTAATTAATTTGTATACAAGGCAATAATCTATCCTTTTATAAATGCTTTGAAAACGTAACTAAAAAATATGACAGCAAAATCTAAACTAAATATACATATTTTAATTCAGACATACATACATATATATACACATACATATTCAGTACACACATACAGACACTGGTACACATAAGCATCTATACTTACATAACCTAAATCTCTTCAGATATTCGTAACTACACAAAATATTAATTAAACCCAAACACAACTATTGCTATTACAACGTTATTATTGCTATTTTAATTATTATTGCTATTATTATTCTTGTTATTATTTCTGCTTCAGTTCCGTCTATTGATTGAGAAATAGGAGGTCAGGAAGGTGTCCAGAGGGTGTCCTTATTTTGCGTGGTGTCCGTGTAATCCGCGGCGTAGGCAACGATGTCCGTGATGGCAGTGACGTCCGTTTTTTCCAACTGAGCTGTGACGTCTAGTGAGTTCTGGGTGTCCATTTGGGGTGAGGTGTCCACTAGAGGCGGGTGATTCAACTGAGCTGTGACGTCTACTCAGTTCTTGATGTCCAGTGGGCGTGAGGTGTCCACTAGAGGCGGGTGATTCAACTGAGCTGTGACGTCTACTCAGTTCTTGATGTCCAGTGGGCGTGAGGTGTCCACTTGGGGCGAGTGATTCAACTGAACTGTGTCGTCTGATGAGGTCATGGTGTCCAGTGGGCGCCAGAAGGATATTTAGGATAGGAATAACACATGAACTATGACGTCTACTCTCTTGGTGTCCACTTGGTTCATGGTGTCCACTTGAACTGTGACGTCTTCTTGGTTCCTCATGTCCACTTGAACTGTGACGTCTTCTTGGTTCCTCATGTCGACTTGGGTCAGGATGTCCACTTGGGTCAGGATGTCCACTTGAACTGTGACATCTTCTTGATTCCTCATGTCGACTTGGGTCAGGATGTCCACTTGGTTCATGGTGTCCACTTGAACTGTGACGTCTTCTTGGTTCCTCATGTCCACTTGGGTCAGGATGTCCACTTGGTTCATGGTGTCCACTTGAACTATGACGTCTTCTTGGTTCTTCGTGTCGACTTGGGTCAGGATGTCGACTTGGTTCATGGTGTCCACTTGAACTACGGCGTCTACTTCTCTCCAGTTGTCCACTTGTCTCGCGATGTCCACTTAAACTACGACGTCTACTTCTCCCCTGATGTCCACTTACTCCAGGATGTCCACAGGGGCTACCAGAACGACTTTGACGTCCCATTGAAACGCGATCAACACTACTGCTGTGTCCACCGGCGTCCAAATCATCAACGGGGCTATGATTGCGACTCAGACTACGATGACAACAGGGGCTACGGCGTCCACTCAGCCCCGAGGGTCTATTGGGGCTTTTATGGGGCTTGTGGTACCTGCTAGGGCTATGTCCGCCCTTACAACAACAGCGTCTTGGGGGCTTCAAGTGCCTATCGTCCCCTTTAGTGCCCTGTTTAGTCCCCTCGTGGCTATCTGAACCCCTGAGTCCTAGCAAGAAATTCAACATTGTTCACAGTAGCTTTGAACACTGAACAATGACGTAACAAACAGCACTTTATAAATTAATCTAGAATATATTAATTTATACAGATATATTATTCAATGGTTCTACTGGATAAATATGAACACTTTACACCATATATTTAACTGGTCTAGTGAACATATATGAACACTGAACGACTAAAATCTTAAGATAGATCGTTTAGTGTACCGCAAGAGCTCAGTAGTACGGTAGTATACACCTGTGAACACCGTCAAGCACTGAAGGAAAAATTATCTATATATATGTCGGCCCGTTCCTCCCTCCTACACCCCCATCACGAGTTTAGGACGGCCGATGTTCAAACTCCATCACGAACACTAAACAAATCACTATTTTGATATATAATTTAATCCCCATATATAAATATAATAAATAAAACTACCCCTAACTATCCTAACTATCATAATTATACCATTAAGATAGGTTAAAATAGATTAATATCAATAAACAAAAATAAAAACAAATATTACATTCTCGTTCGTGGTAGTAAATTAAACATGAATTAACTACGTCATTAACCCAAACATTGCCAGATTATGAAATAGTTTTTTTTATCTTTTTTCGTTTTCTCTCAGTTATTCCTTCTACCACATTCTCCCCTTTATTACCATCTATTCTTCACACATTTTCGCACAAGTATGGATAAAATAAGGACTAATAAACGCAATAATAAAGAAACTGTAGATGAAAATACGAAAATACAAATACCAAAGGAATGTATGGTAAAACCTCCCAATGGTTTAGTAAGGCAGAGCTGAGCCTCATACCACCACAGATAAGCCTCATACCACCACAGATAAGCCTCATACCACCACAGATAAGCCTCATACCACCACAGATAAGCCTCATACCACCACAGATAAACCTCATACCACCACAGATAAACCTCATACCACCACAGATAAGCCTCATACCACCACAGATAAGCCTCATACCACCACAGATAAGCCTCATACCACCACAGATAAGCCTCATACCACCACCAGATAAGCCTCATACCACCACAGATAAGCCTCATACCACCACAGATAAGCCTCATACCACCACAGATAAGCCTCATACCACCACAGATAAGCCTCATACCACCACAGATAAGCCTCATACCACCACAGATAAGCCTCATACCACCACAGATAAGCCTCACCACAGATACTCATACCACCACAGATAAGCCTCATACCACCACAGATAAGCCTCATACCACCACAGATAAACCTCCACCACAGATATACCACCACAGATAAGCCTCATACCACCACAGATAAGCCTCATACCACCACAGATAAGCCTCATACCACCACCAGATAAGCCTCATACCACCACAGATAAGCCTCATACCACCACAGATAAGCCTCATACCACCACAGATAAGCCTCATACCACCACAGATAAACCTCATACCACCACAGATAAGCCTCATACCACCACAGATAAGCCTCATACCACCACAGATAAGCCTCATACCACCACAGATAAGCCTCATACCACCACAGATAAGCCTCATACCACCACAGATAAGCCTCATACCACCACAGATAAACCTCATACCACCACAGATAAACCTCATACCACCACAGATAAGCCTCATACCACCACAGATAAGCCTCATACCACCATAGATAAGCCTCATACCACCATAGATAAGCCTCATACCACCACAGATAAACCACAGATAAACCTCATACCACCACAGAGAGAGAGAGAGAGGGAGAGAAAGTGAGTTAGAGAAAGTGAGATAAAACTCTTGTGCTCACCAGGGATCGAACCTGGGACCTTCTGTGTGTTAGACAGATGTGATAACCACTACACCATGAGCACTTGGTGACACAGGTTCGTATCCCCTATTGAGAGAAAGAGAGAGAGAGAAAGTGAGTTAAAGAAAGAAAGTGAGATAAAACTCTTGTGCTCACCAGGGATCGAACCTGGGACCTTCTGTGTGTTAGACAGATGTGATAACCACTACACCATGAGCACTTGGTGACACAGGTTCGTATCCCCTATTGAGAGAAAGAGAGAGAGAGAAGAGAAAGTGAGTTAAAGAAAGAAAGTGAGATAAAACTCTTGTGCTCACCAGGGATCGAACCTGGGACCTTCTGTGTGTTAGACAGATGTGATAACCACTACACCATGAGCACTTGGTGACACAGGTTCGTATCCCCTATTGAGAGAAAGAGAGAGAGAGGGGAGAGAAAGTGAGTTAAAGAAAGTGAGATAAAACTCTTGTGCTCACCAGGGATCGAACCTGGGACCTTCTGTGTGTTAGACAGATGTGATAACCACTACACCATGAGCACTTGGTGACACAGGTTCGTATCCCCTATTGAGAGAGAGAGAGAGAGAGAAAGTGAGTTAAAGAAAGTGAGATAAAACTCTTGTGCTCACCAGGGATCGAACCTGGGACCTTCTGTGTGTTAGACAGATGTGATAACCACTACACCATGAGCACTTGATGGTTTAGGTTCGTATCAATCAACGTCTAAATTATTTCTCAGTTGACGTAAATAATTCAGTATTTTGTTGTATAAGAGTCGTAAGTATAATATATTATCTCTTAATAATAATAATATACTGCATTATTATTATTAAAAAACATGCATTCATTATCGATATATATATATGACGTCATCTAATAGGAGGGTAGAGCAACAACCAATCACATTTAATCTTCAGCCTGTGACGTCAAATTGACGTAATATTGTTGGGTCCTCTACAACCAATCATGTCTAGACATTCTCTACCTTGTGACGTCATCTTGTGTGTGGTCCTGAACAGCCAATCACAGTCTATCTAGTCACTCACAAACTTGTGACATCATCTTGTAGGAGGTCCTAATCAGCCAATCACAGTGTCTCTAGAAAATCGCCAACCTGAAACGTCATCTTATTGGATGTCCTCAATAACCAATCATCTCTAGAAATTCTTCAAAGTGTGACGTCATATTTTGCCTGTCTCCAACAACCAATCACAGCATCTATGGACACTCAGCAATCTGTGACGTCATCTTTTTGGCGGTACTCATCAACCAATCACAAGTCTTCTAGGCACTCTCCAACTTATGACGTGCTATAGCTAATGTTCAGCTCAACAACCCTTCTTAGGAGTTGCTGTTGAAGACTTGGTTCAGAAGACGCGGCGCGGGTGTGTGGGGCAGGCGGGCTGTCTCCTCCCACCCTCCCATCCTCCCACCCTCCCTATACACTAATATTCCTCCCCAGCCTTTCCCCAAGCCTTCCCATCCCCAACATTTATAATACTCCCCAACCATTAATAGTCTTCCCCAACCATTAATAGTCTTCCCCAACCATTAATAGTCTTCCCCAACCATTAATAGTCTTCCCCAACCCTTAATAGTCCTCCCCAACCATTAATAGTCCTCCCCAGCCCTTAATAGTCTTCCCCAGCCCTTAATAGTCTTCCCCAACCCTTAATAGTCCTCCCCAACCATTAATAGTCTTCCCCAACCATTAATAGTCCTCCCCAACCATTAATAGTCTTCCCCAACCATTAATAGTCTTCCCAACCATTAATAGTCTTCCCCAACCATTAATAGTCTTCCCAACCATTAATAGTCTTCCCCAACCATTAATAGTCCCTAACCATTAATAATTCCTCCCCAACCATTAATAGTCCTCCCAACCATTAATAGTCCTCCCAACCATTAATAGTCCTCCCCAACCATTAATAGTCCCCCCCAACCAGTAATAGTCCTCCCCAACCATTAATAGTCCTCCCCAACCGTGTAGTCCCCCCAACCATTAATAGTCTTCCCCCAACCATTAATAGTCTTCCCCAACATTAATAGTCTTCCCCAACCATTAATAGTCTTCCCCAACCATTAATAGTCTTCCCCAACCGTTAATAGTCCCCCCAACCATTAATAGTCCTCCCCAACCATTAATAGTCTCCCCCAACTATTAATAGTCCTCCCCAACCATTAATAGTCCTCCCCAACCATTAATAGTCCCCCCCAACCATTAATAGTCTTCCCCAACCCTTAATAGTCCTCCCCAACCCTTAATAGTCCTCCCCAACCATTAATAGTCCTCCCCAACCATTAATAGTCCTCCCCAACCATTAATAGTCCTCCCCAACCATTAATAGTCTTCCCCAACCATTAATAGTCTTCCCCAACCCTTAATAGTCCTCCCCAACCCTTAATAGTCCTCCCCAACCATTAATAGTCCTCCCCAACCATTAATAGTCCTCCCCAACCATTAATAGTCCTCCCCAACCATTAATAGTCTTCCCCAGTTGAGGACCAGAGCTCTCTTTAAGGCACCTGATATATACTATACATTTATCTCAAGGAAGTATTATGGAACACTTAGTATCAATAGTACAATAGTATGGTGGTAATAAGAACATGTTACCACGGTTAGCACTTTCCTTGTGGTTATATATATTCAGAAATTTCAATGTCATTTCAAACACGGCGCCATTGGCTATACTAGGCCTTCAAGGTGTGGGGAACTAGGCCTATGTGATATTAGATATAATTTACCGAATTAATAATGATGCGATTTATGAAGTTAAGGGATTATTATTGAATTTGGAATTATTATAGATCATTTATGAGTCTGAATAATGTTACGGGTGTCCCAAGGAGTTATTAGTTAGGTGGAAAATATATCACTAGGCCTAAGCTAACGCCTTGGGGGGGACGCGACGCTGGCTGGCGATTAGACCTACACCACATCCCTGCGCGTCCGTCCACAGAAACAGTCACGTGGTCTAGTTCACCTGTGTTGAGCTATTACAGTATAACAAGTAAGTCTCATTCAATCTCAGACAGGGTTTAGATAGGCCAGTGGTAAAGTTAACTAGATCTAACAGTGAGAGATTGACTGGGAGAGACTGACTGTGAGAGACTGACTGTGAGAGTGATGACTGTGAGAGATTGACTGCCGTTTGAGACTGCCATTGATGATTGAGGGTGGCTATTGTCACCATTGAACCGATCAGTGTAGGCCTGTCACTTTAGCTGGGTATCAAAGGATCTCTTGAGTGAATCTAGCCGTCTCAAGCAGCTTAGTGAAACCCTCCAGCTGAGTGACACAGGGCCTCACACTGGGGTATGGTGAGGCCAGCTGAGTGACACAGGGCCTCACACTGGGGTATGGTGAGGCCAGCTGAGTGACACAGGGCCTCACACTGGGGTATGGTGAGGCCAGCTGAGTGACACAGGGCCTCACACTGGGGTATGGTGAGGCCAGCTGAGTGACACAGGGCCTCACA